TAATAGTGCAAAGAGATGTAGGGCATAATCTGCATTCAGCTTCCTTTTGAGAACATCATTTGGCATTTTATATGCATGTCAGGCAATTAAGGGAGGCAGCACAAGCCTGAGTGTTACAGCCCTGTTAATTTACTAATGCAGAGTCTCAGATACATCTGGCACATGTCACTTCTTTTCTCCTGGAAATGAAGGTGGTTTTCCAGGAGATTGGAGGGCAGCTACAGCAGTTGTTTCCTGCCTGATGCTTCAAAACCCTATGCCCGCTCCTCCTAATGCCTGTCTTAGTCTGAGCAGCTTGAAACTGCTGACTTGATTCCATGGTTCCAGCTTCGCCTCTGGGCACAGTGGTTTAACTCGATGGTTCCAGGCTTTTGGTTCAGCTCCTGGTCCAGAGTCCTCGCCCTGCTACTGGGTTATACCACCACTGCCCTGATTCCTTCCACCCCTGCATTCTACCGCTTGCAATAGCAAAAGTACTCGCTTTCCCCATTTCATCAGCTGAACCAAATAAAAAGTTATGCTCTGCAGACTTGTCTTGCTGAAAACTTTCTCTTATCAAGACAGCTGTCTATGAAGATGTGAAACATCTTCAGCCTTCAAATAGGGAAACACAAATTAATATTGAAAGGAGATATACGAATACTCAGTGCCGTAGAGAATACAAACAACAAATCCTTCTGCTGGTGTTAATTTAGCTCCACTGTAAAACTAAAGCACAACCTGTGGGGAGAAAGGATTCTACAAACTGCAACCTAGAAATCATCTTGCATGGAAGGAGAAATGGCAGTAAGCGTTACTGTTGTAAGCCTCAGGTAGCATATACGTTTGAACACCTTCCTCAAGGCTAAACGAATCAAAAATGCCCTCTGGGAGAAATAACTGCCTCAGGTGAAAACCTGTTCACCTATGTTATTGTTAAATATCATCTACTGTACCAAAGAAAGCAAGCAGATTCTCTCCCTTCTTATGAGTCAGGTAAGGGAGAGGTATTGCTTCTTGCACAGAAGGGGAGGTGGCAAGAGAAGGTGAAACCGTAAATAGCTGTATTAATAAATAATAGTCTGGGGTGATCTCAGACTAATCCAAACAGAGTTTGATAAAGTGGTGTTTGGTTCCTGACCAGTTTTCACAAAATTCCTAGAATTCTCATACAATCTGCTGTCCAGCTAATGGAGCAGCACATGGAATAAAAGAAAAATGGCAACTCTGTTCTTGTGCCAAAGTTATTGTCCCTTGCTTTTCATTGTCCTGTGTATCCTAAGGAGTAAGATCAAAGACTGCAAGTGGCTGGTCATTCGTAGGCTTCCTTTAGAAGAATGATGCATAAAACTCCAGGCATTTTAAGGTATAAAGTACCTTGCTAATCCTTCATGTAAAGTGCTCTTTCCCAGCCAGCAGGAGAGCTCAAACACTGTCTTTCATCTCTGAATATTCCTAAAGCTAATAAATACAACATGTTTCATTATCATGAAAATGACCAGCC